TGCTAGAAACTTTATTATGCAGTTATTGGTTGCAGCAAGTTTAGACACTGAGATCAGGTTAAACTGAAATGAAGGCACATAAAGAGCATCATGTAATGTCAAAGTATCAGATAAGTGAACTTGGCCTATTTGTAAAGCAGTAGCATAATGACTATTAGGCAAGTTAATTTGAACAGAGACAGATCTAGCAGGTGTAGAGTAAAATTCAGAAGAACATAACATGTGATCTGTGGCACCAGTGTCAAGTATCCATGCAGTTTTGTTCAGTTTTATAGAAGCTATACATGACAAAGGAGTAGAAATACCTGTAGTGTTAGCCAGAGCAGTAGCAACCACAGGTTTGGATGAAGAAACTTGCTTCATCTCCTGTGATTTCTTAAAGGCTAAAAATTCACTAAACAAACTGTCAGTCATGGAAGGTGCATTCACATTAACATCAGAATCAGTTTGAGTATTATTCTCAGAAATTGCAGCATGAGCAGAGTGAGAGACATTGTTTCGAGGGCCCTTGGAGCCAATCCAGTTATCAGGATATCCAATCAACTGATAACATCTATCAGCAGAATGACCATTATACCCACAATGAGAACATTTGAGCTTCTTCTTATCTTTAGAGAAATTATTGAAGTTCTGTTTAAAACTCTTTTGTGGCTGGGATGAATGAAAGTTGGACTTAGCAGCCATTGCAAGGGAATCAATGTTTTTGGAATTGTTAGATAAAGCTCTTTGACTCTCTTCTTGGAGAAGTAAAGAATAGACAGTTGAAAGAGATGGCAAGGGAGTATAAAGAAGAAAATGACTCCTGAGGGAAGAATAAGAATCATTTAATCCAATCAAAAACTTCATCACTGAATCATTCTGTTGTGCTGTGGTCATGGATTCAAATATATGACAAGAACAGTTATTAAAGGCACCACAAACACATTTAAAGATAGGGCGATATGTGAGATATTCATCCCAGAGAGATTTGAATGAGTTATAATATTGAGTAACAGTTAAGTGGCCCTGATCAATAGTATTTAGAGACTTTTCAAGCTGAAACACACGAGGACCACTTGAAAGAGCATATCTAGATTTCAGTTCATCCCACACATCTTGAGCAACAGAAAAGAAAAGCAGAGATTGACGTATATCTTTGTGAACCGAATTCAGAATCCAAGAGAGAACCAGATTATTCGCCCTAACCCAAGCAAGAGAAAGAGAGGGATTCTGATTAGGGTTAGGAACAGAGACCGTACCATCAACAAACCCTAGTTTGTTTTTGACGCTCAACGCCATCTTAATCGCGCGCGACCACGACACATAGTTGTCGCCGTTGAAGATCTCGGCGACGATGAGTGCTCCAGGGTTGTCGCCGGCGTGGAGATAGAACGGTGATGTCGGATCGTCGGTAGGGTTTCCAGTAGCAGCCATAACAATCGATCAGATAATCAGCAGTGGAATCACAAGATCTATACAGAAGAACAAGGATCGCAGCGGAAAACGATAGATTTCAGGATCAATTCCTCGCGAATGATACCATGACAGAATATAGAATGAACAAGAAAAGAGGAAAGATTGTATTGAACACGGCGAGAGTGAAAGAATGAGAAAAAGTGTTTGGTTAGGGTTACATGAATGCTATTTATACTAATGCTGAAGTAGAGAGTTGTTACTATACAAATGACAACTCTTCTTATTCTATAAGACTAAAACTGAAGTACAAATAATAATAAAAAGAGTACAACTCCTAATAATTCACTCATATTGTTATGCTTGTGTTTTATAGCGATTTTCATCCAAACTACTATCCGTTTTTAGTTACTAGAGTACCTTATGTTCTAATAGATTCTCGAGCTATATTACGGCAGCAAAATAACGAATGGCATGTGGCGGACAAATGTTAAGACACTTACAAACAGCTTAGCTGATGCAGTACACTGTTAATTGAAATCTTTCGACATAAAAAAAAAATAAAAGTAAAAAAATTGTTTCTCTTGAGTTGGTGAAAATTGTTCAAAAAGATCTTTTTTCTCGCATTTTGCTTATTGCATCTGAGTAAATTTTGCAGACAACCAAAGACCGATGGATCATCATTTGGAGTAGGTTAATACTTGTATCGTGAGCCCCAAGTGGGTTTATGTGAAGCATATGAGTATGTGTTTTGACTTGGGGCTTTGTGTGTGTTACTAAATAAACTTGTTATATGACGTTCTTGATGTTATTTGTTGGGATATTCATGACTTGGCGAACATCGGGCTTTTGTACGTTAAATCAAGAAAAATGCAGCAAAGGCCACAAACTCCAAATGGAAATTTATGAATGTGTTTTCAGCTTTGGAATCTGGATGCAGTTGGCAAGAGCATATTGCGGTTGAGTAGTTGAAGGCATTAACCATTAGGCTTTGGATTGAGGGATTTATTAAGAGATTTAAAATCTATAAATTTCGTTCAAATCTTTGTAGGTTTAGAGATGATAATGAAAGTTCGAAAATTTCAAATCTAAGCTTGATAGAATTTAATTATTATTTTAAAAAGTTTTAAATGACTCGTCAAACCTAATTATTTGAAATTCACTTTTTATTCCACAGTTGACGACCACACTATCCACAAGTATGACTATTCATTCATATTCAAACCGTCAGTGCTAGACAATAAATTTTATAATCATTTCAACGAATCCATTCAAATAGCAAATATATATTTTAAGAAAATCGAAATCGAGATTTCAAATCCAAACTACCCTAAACACAATTAACTTAAATATTACAAAGTCCCATAGACATACATACATACAAATACGATTATACAAAAGATAGTAAGGTGTAATTATTCAATCTACAGACTTTAAAATTGGTTAGAAATGACAGACAATAAAATCTAATATAGGACAGCTACAAACTTTGAAACATAAAGGGGAGAGAGCTAGTTTTCATCAAATCCCCACAAAAAGTATTTAGAAGTCTGATTTCATGAGCCTCGTTCGAGGTTTTATTGTGATGTCATCATACGGATTAGGCTGCTCTACATGGATATAGTCTCGTGTTTTAAGGACCTGAAAAAATTATTCAAACAAAGGATAAAATGGTCATTCTCAGTTGAAAAACACAAAAAGGGTACCTAAGTGGAACATACCAAGAAGATACTAAATAGTATGAACAACCAAAAGAAACACTTGGTGTGAAATGAATAATAAACAATCAGACAAAGAAGCTCCTTTCATCACATCTAAATAAATATCACTGACATGATACTAAAATTGAAGTTTTTAAGGAAAGCCTTTTTATTTGAGAAAAGAATATGAACTTACCAATGTCTCGAAAAACATTCTAGATGCTTCCTTGCGCGATTTACCAAATAAAAGTTTGTCCATGGAAAGAGACTTCCTCCCACTTTCTGCCTCTTTAGCAAATGCCGACTGGAGGTACTTGGAGACAGCCCTATCAAGATTAAATGAAATTTAGAGGTCAACCGATATGCTATTGATGAGCGTTATTTCAATCAAGCGAAGGGAACTTTTCAAATAATGAGAAATAAAAGAAAAAAAATATATATATTATAAAGGACAAAAAAAATTGTCCATTGCAAATGATGCTGGAAGAGTCATTGTTGACAATTCTCCTGACATAGTGCTAATAATGGACTAGATCAAAATGACTCAATTAATTTCTAGTGCTTCTTCTATTAGTGAAGTTTCTAAAAAAAAATATATCAAACGGCGCAATGCACCTTGGGTCGCTACAGAAACAGCCTCCTTGTATAATTACGAGGGTAAGGTCTGCGTACAACTGACCCCCCAGACCCCAACTTGTTGGGAATATACTGGGTATGTTGTGATTGTGATTGATATAAAGGACAAAAAACCATGCAGCACAAGGGTAAGGGATTTTGAGTTGAGTTTTGACAGAATTCATCACAATATCAGCTTTAAGATCTTATAAAGCAATTTAAATAAACAATTTAACCTTTACTGTTACATTTTCAGTCGCAATAAATCAATCAATCAACACGCCATTAATATTCCACTAAGTGGGGTCGGCTATATGGATCACATGTCGCCATCGTTGCAATTTCAGTCACAACACCCAAAAAAAAAAAGAAAAAAGAAAAAGAAAAAGAAGAAGAAGCATGTGTAAACAGAACTAAAAAGTCGAATCGATCAATATTTTCACTTAACCAATAGAAAATCATCTTTTGGTAGCACTTGCATCAGAACTGAGAAAATTGTTTAAATGAAGACTCTTATAAGGAAACGAATTGCAAGTTTGCAACATAATTGGAATAGTTGAACTCAAAAAAAATACCTAGTACGCGAAGACCACCCACTGTTCTCAGTATACTGTGTCTCTTCATCATCAGGCATATGATCTTCAGCTATTTCAGTTAGCTCGTCATCATCAACATTGAGAAACTCTGAAAGCTCAGAGACATATAGTTAGGCATGCATGGTCCTCAATAACCCATGACAAGTCCAAGCATATGCTATAATTATCCTAAATTACTGAAAAAAGGGTACAAACGTAATGGCAACTGAATATAACAGGCTTAGCTATATTTTGGGCTATATTTTGGGACTGTGTTTCTACTACTATAATATAAACAGGAGGTTAGCATAATAATTGAATTGGAACTTTATTGTTATATAGGCAACTGAATAGATTGTACATGCATTCAGATTCATTTTACGTTTCAATGATTTATCAAACCAAGCTCGCATAATCAAAAAATGAAAAGCATGTAGCTATCATTGAATTATGTTCTAAAGTTGGGTAACTTTGCTGAGAAATTATGTTTGCTTAATTATTCCATAAATCGATGAGCAAAATATCAGACCAAATTAATCAGAACAAAGCGACTACAAACTGTTTGATAGGATAATTGGAAGGTCACTGCACTTGGCAATAATAATCACATAGTTGTCAGGCAATATACACCCTAGTGCAAACATAAAAACTGTACTATACGAGGGCAAATTCGCATTTGACGTTTCTTGTGGATTATTTAAAATAATTTACAACTATTTATTCTGTTGTTCCCATCTTAAAATGTGACAATAGGATGATCTAGCAGGAGTCAGTAAGCAAACCTGTATCATTTCCAGCACTCGCATAATATATACCCTGCATAACAAATAAGCTGAACTGTCAACAAAAAATCTAGAAAAAAAAAATAATAATAATAATAATAATAATAAAACAATATGCAGCAATATCATTTTTTTATCACTAATGTTTTCATCGTGGTAAAATCCACATTTAATAGTAAAAAATGGAAAAATAATCAAATTTCGCAATGACCAGATTTCAACTTACGCCTGGATAATTCATGTCAAAACCACAAGTTTCTGCATCCATCACATTGGGTTGATAAGCTTCCGAGTGATTTGGATTTTCTGAAGCATTAATGAAACCATCATCTAGCATGCCCTCAAGCACTTGATGTGAAAACTCCAATTCTCGTTGTTGTTCATTATAAAATTCGGTTTCAAGATTATGCTCCAGCTCCCTGTAATTAACATCGGGTCCCTTTTCAACAGCTGCATCTTCGTTCATATCCAGAAAAATATCATCCTTTTCTCCAACTTCCATAACCAACTCCACATTAATATCATCATCCTTCTTCGCCACTTCTCTGGCAATTCCCTGCCCATCATAATTATCGGCACAATCCAACTCAGCTGAGGGCACAACATCCAATGCATCCACATTCACGTGAGAATTTCTCTTGCCGGACTCGTCTAAACAGCCAGTTTGATCCACATCATCCGTAACATGTCTGGTGGGGTCTAATTCCCTAACTTCAGGAATAGAAAGATTGTCAGAAACAGCATCTGTGGGACCCGCTCCTAAATCAGCTGCATTCACTAAAACCTCATCCACTGAAGCATCTGTGCGCACATCATCAGTAGGCTTAGTTGGCTCTTGACTGAGACTATCATCGCCTTTTGTGTCGTTGACTCCCTCCAGAATTATTTCATTTTCTGGCAGAATCTCATGGAGACTCGTTGTTTCATTCTCTGTCGCGATTAAAATCTGATTGTTTACCCCTTGCTCACTTGTTTCTATTACATTATCACCTTTGGGTGCTTCATCATGGTTTTCATTATTAGAGGATGTTGAATGCAATCGAGCCACAGTTTCAATAGGAACACCAGATTTGTTGTCATCCAGGGAAGCTAAGTTTGGTCCAAAAGTGCTTTCAGGGGTAGCGAGAATTGTGTCGTCTTGGGAAGGCAGCCTTGCTTCAGCCAAAGTTTCAAGAGAGGGACCATTTAGATCATCTTTGCAAACCCTGATGCGACTCAAATCACAAATCTGACTATGCAAAGATGCCAATTCAGCTGTCATGCCTACAAAAGCAAAGGAAAAAAATTTAAATATTTTTTGAGTAACAAAAGGAAAGGACACATGCTCCTCTTACAGTTTGTTTAGCCAAGACTGATGAAACAGAACCCATAGAAGACCACCAGAAAAATACATAAGCAAATGGTGTATCTCACTGCAAATTAGATATCAACGGCCAATTCATGTAAGTTAGATGTTATGCTACGTTACGTTTCAGCAAACAAATACAATTTATTTTTTTTTCGAGCATTTAGGGTGAAAGTAATAAAAGTAATATTTCCTTCATGTCTTGAAATACATTTTGTCTGGCTACTGATGTCGCATAAGACTATTTTAAACAAAATAGCTATAATGTTAGCAGAGTGACGAATATAGGTCTTCGTTTGTGAGGATGGTGAGACTGCACAATCTTTGCAGCAAATAACAGTTCTGTTTCGCTGGAACATATCCATACATTTCATAAGTGCAAAGATATATTTGTTGGTATATATAGTTTGATAGAGATAAAAGAATCGAAGGATATCACTTTTAGAATATCTTAAAAAATTGATTTTTGGATCTTAATTGGTGCTTAATCTTAGGTATCGTGACTGATTTATTATTCCTCATATGATTTATTATCTTACCCCTTTCTACTCATAATTACCATTTTATATTAGCTATATAGTTCAGTAAATATGATAGGGTTGACAATACGATAAAGCCCTTTTACATGTTTACTACACCTTTTGAAAACTTTTACAAAACACAATCATTAATAAACCATTCACAAACGAGTCATAAACGAAAAAACAATGGAATTTAGGAACCAATTACAAAAAAACTGTGGATTTTAAAGGGAAAGTTGTAAAAAATAATAAAAAAAAAATACTCAAAACCACACAATCACAATGCTTGCATCATAAACTCACCACTGAATACAGTCTCGACAAAAAATTCGTCTTCCATGTGCTGTTTCTGTATGACTGAAATTTCGGACAGCGTGCACGGAGCTTTCTTTCTAGCACGACGTATGTCTTCTGTATTGGTCAGCTGAAGTCGTATCGTGCTATCAGACAACAGAAACAACATAAATTCCAATTGTTTTTCAAACATGGGCCAGCAAGCAAATAATTTCAAGCCAAAACAATGGACAAGAGAAAACTTGCTGTAAGGTAATAAAATGAAACAGATTCATCAGTCAAACTACCACCAATGTGAAGGAAAAAAACAACGAGTGCTAAATGCAATTTACATCACCATAATTGACTTAGCACTCAATCCATCCTCGCAAAATGTTAACATTAGGAAAAGAACATAAATAAACAGCATGAAGAAACAGCATGAAGAAATATAATAATGTTATCAGGAAAAGGAAGGACATACTCGCCGTGCAAAACCATGGTATCATCCATAAGCACTTTCCTTTTGGGAGCTTTAGAACGAGGAACGGAACGACTACGCTTCATTGAGGTCACCTCAGTGAGTGGAGGTGTTGGCTTTACTTTCAGAACTGACGATTTTCTACCAACTGATATAATAATTCTTATTAAACCACATAATACTCCAAGAGAGGTAAGATAAGATGTACAAAGACACAAATATACATCCCTTTCTATATATATAAATGTAGAGTTTCCCTAGTCTACATGTTAAATTTTGTGCTTCGTAGTCCTATGAATCAATATTTTGTGCTTCGTAATCTAGTGTCAATTTTTTTTGCTTTGAAATAGTCCAAGGACTTGTATTCATACCAAAGAGGACTTTTAAGATTTCAAGACATTTGTCTAACTTAAATTGTAATATATTTAAACATACTAACTTTTTTTTTTTTATTATCAATTTTCCATAAATGATAATCATCATTTGACGATCTTCTATTTAGACATCCCTATTGCATATAAAAAAATAATTATAGCTACCTTTAAAACAAAATAAGAAATATCTACTAATCCTAACTGGAAAAAAAAATATTATTTATCGATTAAAATAATATACCTATCTATTATATGATGTGAGAGAAATCATTATAACATATAACCCGTTAAATAGAAATAATAATGCAATATTTTTAGAAGTATTTGAATATTTAAAATAAAATATTACTTTTGAAAAAAAATAAAGTATAAATTTCTTATTCAACACCCATGTATATAAGTTTACTCTTTATCAATTAAATAAATTTATCTATAAACCTATTGTATGATGAATTCAAACTTTATTTTAATATAGAGTGAGCAAGTCTTACAAATAACTGGTGTCTATTTTTTATGTTTTAAGTTTAAAAGTTCTTAATTAGCACCCGTGTACTAGTATATACATGAATGAACAGAGACCATTAAGACAGACTGATGTACCTAAAATGGATGACAACAAATCATCGTAATCCGGAACCGATCCTGCGGTTCTAGCACGGACTTGCCTCGAGGATTCAGCTGAATTCAGACTCTGCTCTGTTAATGTACTTTCAGTAAAACTACGCTTTCTGCCTGCAGCGCTCTTGCTCCCGGCATCACCTCCATCGAACCCCATGAATTCACTCGTGTTGATCCCTACTGGCATGTGTATATGTGAATCCACATGGCCTTCTGGTACTGAAAGCAATTTCTCAGGAGCAGAAAGCTCATGTTCCGCTGAGTTTTTTAAATCCTCAACAGACCTATCTTGTGAATTTGCATTATGTACTTGAGTATGTGAATTTGTATTATGTACTTGAGTATCCGCTTCCTCAACAGTCACCAAGGTATCTTCACCGGATGCAAGCTCTGGCACTTGATTTTCCTTCTGGTTATGCTCAGGGTTGCTATTTATGCCGTACTCTTGACCTGATATAAATGCACCCGCATCAGCAGATCAATGATTATCTAAAATAGCAACATAATCCTTTACATAATTACCAAGAATTAGTTCACATATGTAATCTACAGGTCTCAATATTCTACAGAAGTATGTTTTACAAAACCAGTTATGATTTCTACAGTGGTTTGTTCACTTTAAGTTGCATGCGTGCTTGATCGACAAACCTGGCTCAATTGCGTCTTCACGTTCATAGATTACGAAGGAAGGAGCATTGGACTTTGCACCAGCATCAGTTGAGATGCTATCCCCAGGCTTTGTGACATCACGATTTTCCAGGGTAGAATTGTATTGCCCAGATAGTATAGTTACACTAGACACCTCTTTATCACAAGTCTCGAGATTCATCGAGTTTTCAGTTTGCTGACAAGCTCGAGTTTCAGGAGCTTCTAGGAATGATCCAACTTGATTTTTCGGAGCCAATCCCAGACCATCATCACATGATTCCTGCTGATTAATAGCTTTTCCTACACAGTTAGAGACATCAACCCCAGGCCAAGCTAGATCTTTTAAGGGTACACCTTCAGCAACTTGCTGGTCACTGCTAGCCAATCTAGAGGTTTCACCAGCATTTATTTCCATGTCAACTTCACCGGGACCTTGATAGTTATTACCAGTCTTGTTAACTGAGGCAAAATACAATTTGCAAGGTATTAGAAATTAAATATAATGAAACACTCAAACATCTACTAAATACTCGCCCTGTCGTACAAAAGATATGAGACGTTCTTAATTTGGGTGTTCAAATTGTTACTGGTTACTACATCAGTATGCAATTAATTTTTCACTTCATATATATTCCTATTCAATTTTTTTTTAATCCCTCGACTAACATTTTCGTGAACAGAGAAGACAATCGATAAGCAATTAATTGTGCACAGGAACATAAAAGCATGTCGGGAACACCAAGTAACACAGAGGAGGGGGCGGGGATTTTCTCTTTTAATGCAGGTTAAAAAAAATGCCTAAGTGATGTGGAAATTCGAAGGGGAAAAAAAGAAGACTTACAGACAAGGTGTTGGTTTTTATTCGCACAATTTTTCAAACTTAGAATCAATTCACCATTATCAAACCATTATCCTCGTAAATAAATATAATATATATGCACATGTTCCTATATATATTATATATATATGTGTGTATGTGTGTGTGTGTGTACAGCTTGCACAAAACAATATACGTGCAGCAAATATGCATACATGTCACCGGAAAATTTTCAATTAACTAGGTGGCTTCACCTTCTTGGACAGCTTCAGTTTGCAAATTCTCCAGAAGTTGGCCATTAGCTACCTCAATCCCATCAGTGAATTCTGAAATAGGTCTTGTGGCTTCATCATGACCTAATTTATGAGTACTCAGGCCAGATGCTGCCTAGGATATCTCAATAAAAAAAAAAAAGAAAAAAAGAAAAGAAAAGAAAAGATAAAGAAAAAAAAGAAGTAAAATGTTACCTTCTAGAGGAAATTCACGATGTGAATTTGATTCATTCATTTCCAAGCTACTCGAAAGGTGACCATTCTCCTCGTGTTGCCCCAGAGGTACAGCATCAGAAATTTTATCTTCTCGGGAACACCAATCCGCCTCTTGTTTATCCTTGTAAAGAACATTATCATCGTTCTCCCTCACTGTTGATTCCATTAAATGATATTCCGATTCCAGATGGTCATCACATGCTGAGGCAACTTTGGCATTAGATAAATTTGGTTCCTCCACCAGTCGAGGAGTGCACGGAGCCTGTGCATAGTCCATGAGATCATCTGGTTCATCAGCATCATCGACCTGCACATAACATTGTGAACCATCAAACAACTTCAGGAAATTGTGACCCAAACCAACTGAATTAATTCAGTTAAAGATATTTTACTCCTATTTTCTAAAATATATATACATATACATATATATATATATATATTCCAAAAGCCGAAACATCAATCCAAGGTCATATAAACATTTAAAGACAAACTACCACACTTATACACCAAAAGGCTTGTAGAGGAAGAAGAAACTACCATTATGTCTGAATTTGTGGCCCTATCTACAAGATGTTCATCATGCTTGAGGGGTGATGTTGGTCGGTAAGAAGCCTGGGGATCAGCACTGTAATCAAAAGATTATGGCATGAGACACAAATTATCATGAATTGATTGGCATGACCTAATCACCAAGGTCGTGACCCTGATAGTGATCAGGTAATAGAATGAAAAATTCACGAGGACAGAACAAAGACAAATACTTAAAGCACTGCTAGAAATTGATGCTCAAATACTTCGAATAGAAAAAAAAATATTAGCTTTAACAATCGTGTCGTTAAGAATAGATATGAGTTCTGTGAAAGTAGGAACCAAAAACGAACTGAAAGCATCACTACTGCAGAAAATGAGGAGTTCTATGCGAATAAAAAATTTAAAGTAAAGCCAACCTCTCATTGGCATTGCCTGCAGCTCCAATTTTGTTCATAAACAGTTCCTACAGGCAGGTGTCAGATAAAAACAGCTCGTAAGTTGTAAGAGTTGAAGTTTTATTGTACGTTAATAATGATCGATAACAGCAATGCTATTTAGACCTTTCTGTACAATATTTCCAATAAATGACATCATATAAAACATGGCAAAGAAAATCAATGTTTTTACATTGATGAATTACGAGCACATTTATTTAATGAATCCAACTGTTTCTGCACAGGAATGCCAGACTATACTCCCTCCAACCCACAAAGATAGGCATGTTTGCCTTTTCACAAAGTTTAAAAGAAAAACATCAATTGTTGTTGGAAAAGTAAAATTTATGAGTATTTTCCCATACCCCTTGTATTAATAGTCGTAAACAATGTCACATATTCAGCATATGAAAAGCTATACTGTAATTCAATAAACCACATACTATCAAATAACATTCTTAAGATGAATACTGCACACGGACACACATAAGTACAACAGGTAAAATAGGAAAAAATGTAAAGATAATAGCATCTATGACAATGTACCTCATCAAGGTCCAATCCAGAAGCATCGCCATCACCAAATCTCTCTAAAAGCAATACAAGCAAGCAAAACATTAACAAGAGAAAAACAAACAGAAGCCATAGAGTAACTAATTAATTAAATATTTTATTTATCTGCTCAAGAGGTTTAGACGCTTCTTGTAGCAATATGTAGGAACAAGAAATAACAAGTAAGATAATAACCAAACAGAGTCTACTGAAAATAAGCAGAAGACTACTAACCATCCAGCCCAAACTTTGATGTGGAATAACTGGCACCCTCCATCGTGTCCTGAAGGGTGATTTGCTCCCTCGAACTAATATGATGATCAACATAGTTACTGCAAATTTTGCAGTTGACATGTTAAACGGGATGAATAAAAGGTATGAAATTACGATATTTTCTTCCAAATATCTTGACAAAATTCAGTAACATAATAAATATGTACAGATATCTCACGTCATTTGCTCAGTCGATTAGGGAGAAATCTCTTTCAACATTTTACTAGTAAACTAAGCCAATCCGTTAAATATCATGCTAAGTCTACAGTAGTACAGTGGAGCTTCAAGATAAGTGCGTATAAAACACAAAAACTAATTAACTCTAATGAACAGAGAGATCTTCCAAACCATTATAAGCAGCAACTTCACGAAACCATAAGTTAAGAAACTAATATTAAGCATGTTTGTAAATAAAAAGTAACACCCAAGGAATAAAACTTCAAAAATTATGGCACAAACCCCTGGGTAATGTCAGTATCTGGCAGCTCAAAATCATCAAGATCAAACTTCTCGGGCAAGGTAATAGAGTGATATGGTGCTTTTGACTCTTCTGGGGGTAGGTCAACAGCAGTGGAGCGAAAAGCTTGCTTAACTTTGAGCAAAGCCTCACTGCAATCATCAAATAGGTAGTTCACCTTTCTATTATAGATTCTCACCACACCAAGCAATAGATGGCTTGACAACCGAAGTGCAATCGGCACGTCAGGAAAAAGAATTGAGTCTGTACAAATAAGAACTAATGTAAATAAGGAGAAATGTATAAGTATTTATTTAAAAAAAAAAAAGCGCAACAACTTAAAAAAAAAAATATTTCGGTATGTATTAGCATATCGGTTGGTACTGAAAAAATAGAATAAACTAGATGAAGGTCAATTCAACAACTTTATAACAACATATATCTAGCATGCAGATCAAATGTAAGGACTCTTATGCCATACTTGGTGGTACAAAATAAGGACCCATGATAAAGACTAGAACTTTAAGCAATAACAAACCAACGGTGAGAAAATAAAAACTGAAACATTGATTATGACTTGTGGACACCTTTAATGAACCGATATTTGGATTAGTTGATTCACTTTATCTGGTCAGACATAACATCATTCCATTCTTTTTATCTGGCATTACATTGAACTCTGATGACTAAGAACTCATGACGGTAATTTCACTTCTTCCATTAGTTAAAAGTTTCCAAAGAGAACAAACAAAGAGTTTTGAATTTTGATATCCCCATGTACTTGTGGATCACCAAATATGTGAATGAGAATTGAATATGAAAAAGCGCATAATATTCAGGAATACTCAATAGTCAATATGCAAGAACACATAGCAAATTAATAATAGCTCCACAGAAACTAAGATTCTTCAACCAAAAGCTGTTGCTAGGGAAGTAAAAGCACAAAAAGTGAAGGTCAATGCTATCAACTCTGAAGTTAGAATATCGTAAGTAATCGAGCCAGATGTGATTTTTTCTGGAACTTGGGTGGTTTCCACTTTTTAAAGAGGCATGCAGAACAGCTATATAACATATTGCAACTGTGAGCGTTCTCTAAAGCTTGGGGTAAAGTGAGTCTGCAAATACTTTTTCTCTCTTCTCCTGTTCTCCACAACATTCACGTTTTAATTACACAGAAAATGATCGATTTTGTCCATCCTGGTAAAATTTGAGGCACTAAGATGTTGACTCAGCATCTAGGAAGTACATTTGGGGCTGTAACTCACCAGTTCATTTGACCTTAGCACAGTGCAATATCTACGGAAACTGACTCTACGACTGACAGAACGCAAACTTCAATTGCTTGCAGGTTATAAATATGGACTTCCACATGATTTATTCACTTGTCCAAACCAATTGTCAAACAACAAATGTGGCTATTTTACAAGAGCAAATACCAAACTGCATGTTATGTACCAATTTAAAATTTTATAATATTAGAAAAGATCCTTATTACGAGGAGCAGCTCTGTAAGTCTGCCTCCTTAATTATATAACAAACCAACCAAATATTCCACTGGCTTACAAGAGTGCAATGGTGTTAACCATGATGATATATCATTCAACAGATTATGCATGATAACTAAAACGCATAAGATGTAAAAAAAATAAAAAATAAATAAATTAAATTATCTCAATGGCTAAAAATGAAACTTTACCTACAGAAACTCCAATATCAGTATCAGCAACTTGATTTTTACGAAGCTTACGCTCCAAGTGCGCCGCTATCCAAATGGTTCCTAATGGACCCTTTTTTGCCAATATGAACTGTGAATAAAACATTATTCCTTCCTACTTTACAAACAACAGCGCTACAACTACTTGGAGTAGTTATTCTTCTAATGTTCCTTTCCTATGAACATACACAACGTCCAGAACCCTAAATTACAAAGAAATACGCACAAGAATCAAATACATGTTCTGTAACTTAAAAGAGACGAAATTAAAGCACCGGGCTTTATTCTTCAATCAGGACCCACATGTAAATCCATACACAACCCGTGCTTAATTCCCATTCTTAAACAAGAAACCCAACCAAAAAAACCCTAGATTCGACTTGAACAATAAATTCCAACACGAAAACCCCAATTAAAAACCCTTGACACTCCCGAAGCCAGGTCTTCCCGCGAAATACACCTAAATTACCAGCTCAAGACACTCCAAAAAGGCCCAATTCAACAGCAGAAGCTGCAATTCTTGCTCCGATCGAAAACCGCAACCGAGCGCACGACGACGGTAACTCAATCAAGACGTATATAGCGTATATGTCGAATGATCTTATCTTATTAAAAAAAAGTAGAAAGAAAGTAGTTAGACCGAGAGCAAAAAAAACTTGAAATTTGTGCAATCTAAGGTGAAAATTTTGTTTTGTTTATGAAGAAATGTAATTATTATGAGATTTCAATAGGCAAAAACGCAGGCGCGTTCAGGACCCAAAAGTTAGTAATCGGGTTGTTCGAACCAAGTAGTGGAGATTGTTCACGATCTAGATTCTTTAGAGATAAATTTACCAAAATGCCATTTCTTTGTCTTGCCTTTTCCCTTTCAAAAGTTAGAAATAACAAATAATTTCGTCAGAATTTTTAACAGTAGATTATCTATCTATACTAATTTATAGGGTGTATTTACGGTTTAAAACTTCAACGTAATAATTCCGTAACAGCATAAAAAAATAATATGGCTATTAATACCATCGGTGATTGGTCACAACCTGTATTAAAAAACTTGTGCCTTTTCCCCTATATTTTTAAAAATACATAAAAAATTTTAGGTTTTACTTCCACTAATTTTTCAAAAAAAAAAAAATTGGCAACTAAATGTGATATTTCTTTTCAAAATTTTCCTAACAACCTTCAAATGTTTCACGAAATATTAAAATTTTCGTGATATTTTGAAGAAATATTAAACTTGTCGTTATATTTTGATTATAGCGCAAAAAATTCAACTGAGAAAACGATGGTCCTGACATTCAAATCTAACATGAAACATGCAAGACACCAACAATACCACTTCACCACACATGAGATATGGTGTTTAGTTAGCCTATATAGTTTTTATAGAACATGTATAAAACTAAGTTTAAAATATTAATATTAATAAAGTCAAATAATTTAAATGTTAATATAAATCAAATTAAAATAATTTTAAATTAAATTCCAAATGTTAATATCAATATGATTAAAAAATGTAAAAGAAAATATAAAATCTATATAAAATATTAGTGCAATTAAAAGAAAATAACTGTAAGTTCATAGCTTTATATTAATATAAAATGAAATAAAACGAAATAAAATAAAATAAAGTTGAATGATTGAAAATATTAAATAAGTTAAAACATAGATAACTTATTTTATTATGATTTAAAGATATATAAATTTAAAAATAAAGTTTTGTTAGCCTCGTCGGCTGCTTGCATAATTATTGATTGTACGTCCAATTTGGATATGCATTGATATACACCAAAATATCAGATAATTGTTAATTATTCAGTTTACTTGGATACGCAATTTTTATATCGCATATAATTTCGTGAGTAGGGGTGAAAAAGTTTTTTGACGAGACATTGTGTAAAAAAAAATGCATGTATATATTGAGATGTAAAAGATGTCTGCACTAGGGAATAAACAACTATCGGACTGTAAAGAATTACTGTATCAACCTATGCATACAAAATTAATAGTTTATGCCATGTAACAAAGCCAATAGGGTAACGAAGAGAAACCAAAAGATGATAATAATAATAATAATAATAATAATAATAATAATAATAATAATAATAATAATAATAATAATAATAATAATAATAATAATAATAATAATAATAATCTTGAATAGATGCAACAAACTGTTGCATCACAATACCCATAAAACGCAACATCAACCTAATTGTTACACTCATTGCTCTTCAATACCATCACATGTACAAAGAATTACGATACATATGGAGTGCCACGGCTCGACGAAGTAAATTATGTAGACAAAAACATTTCTTCCTAAGAAATTTTTTCGCAACGGACAATATTTATCCGACAATCTTACACATTATTGTTTCTTTTAATTGTGAGCTGCCTGAATATAAAATGAACCACCTTATGGTAACATGTATATACCGATACAAGGTCAAAATACATCTACCTCAGAGAACTTCAAGAGTAGAAAGAAGCCAAGAAAAGCCTCGAATGATTTGTTGTTCAATTGAAATTCTCTCACGATTTTCCTGCTTCGGCAGTTTCTCCATCTTCCGCCTGGTCGGCTAGCCTGATAATATCTTCCACAAGAATTTTCCCCTCTGCCACAAGCACAGATGCAAAATTACCCAATTGTATGAAAACAAAGTCATCAACTCATAAAAGAAATCGAACAGTTTCATTACCCAGAAAAGTAGAAACCTAGATTTTATTTTCTTTTTTTTTCCCCCAGTAACATTTACTCTTCTCTTAAATTTTTTAAGTCATTTCAACCGTTCAATAAAAGCTCATTGTGGACAGACACACACACGAACTCTTGAAGAAGAGATAAAACGAATATATAATGCTTATAGCTAGAAAATATGCTTTAGGAAGAATGGGGGAAAGATGAGTAACATGACTGACCCCTATCCTTGGACAGTTTTCCGATAAGTTCTTGAATACCCTCCTTATCTAAAGTGTCCTTCAGATATATAGCAGCAGATGCAACCTCTTCAGGAGTCACTTTTCCATCATAATCTCTATTCAACAATGACAACAGCATTACAGAGTACTTCTATTTTTAAAAAATAATAAAGAGAGAGAAGAAAAATAATGGAAATGTGGAGTTCAAACAAAGAATGATTATATCTCAGATTTTTTTATTTTTATTTTTTTAATTTGGTTTATAAAGCAATATGAATATTGTAGAAGCAGATAAGCATTTAATTACCAGCTGAAGCATATTTTCAGCAACCAATAATTTCTAGTTGGATCAGTTGAAGAAATTATGAAAATCATAAGCAAATCTATACCGATGAAAGAAATGGGACCACAAAATATTAGAAGTTACTCAACCCAACAATATTGGAAAAGGAGATCTATCTATCCTGGCCAATAACATTATAAAAACCCTTAGCTAAGCTGCTCTAAGCTCTAAACGCAAATTAAAATTTTACGGATTTGCAAAGAAGCTGTTTTGGATTCACATTGAGGAATAAAAAAAATATTTAGAACATGATTGTTGAGCAACCGGATTCTTACAAAAGACACTAGCTCAAAAATAGAGTTGCAAGAACTCCTAGCTTTCAATTATAGCAATTTCCAGTGTTACCTGTCAAGCAATCTCCAACGATCGCCAATTTTAAAATCTACATCATCAATTTCCTTTTCAAGCTTTTGGAGCATAGCATCAACCTAAAACATGAAAAGACCAACAAATACGTAAGATACAAACAGAATTCGACGTCAGTCCAGCCATCGGTACTGCCAAAAAAAAGGCATTCACAGAAATGCACGGAAAAGTATTAATATTATTCTCACCCTGTTTATTAGTGCTGCAGATACTTTATCACCCGAAGCCCTCTCAGTAGCATCATCACTTTCCTCTCTAGCTACTCTATAAGCTTCTCTGGCTTCTTCTTCTCCTTCTTTAGCCTCTTTTTCTACCATGTCATTGTACAGACCAATCTAAAATCACACATCAAAAAGACTTCGTCAATGTGAACATTTTCAAATTATCATAAGATACATTTAGCTAAGTATAAATGACAGGTTCACCATATTTTGCATCAGTCCCAGTTCCAAACATTAGGGATTAGAATGATAGTAAGGCATCATACACATTAGTTTGAGTGGATATATTGGACTGCACAGCATAAGTTAACTTAAAGCAAAAAACAAAATGATCTGTGAGAGAAAAAGATTTAAAACTGTAACATAGAATGACTTCTTTCCCAGATTATTTCTTGGACTGTTACTTTCACGGACCCTAAATTATGTCTCAATTTAAATGTAGTGACTCTGGAAGATAGTGCCAGAAAAGCCTGAATGGATAAACATCTTTTGTTCATTGAATATAAATAAATTTATTAGCCACTATCCCCCACTCCTCATCTGCAAAGCAAGAGTAAAATGATCCATGCATTGGATGCGTTCAAATGAGCGGTGGAGGTAAATTAGAAAGTATTAAAGTCAGATGAAACTTCAAATTGGGAGACAAAATGGACTCTAGTTACCATTAAACCGAATAAAAAAGGAATGATTGTATTTGATAATCATATTATTATTTTCACTAGATATAAATGCCCTTTTACAAAACACTAATAGCAAATCCGCAGTTACCTCTTTGTTGACAAGTCTCAAGAACTCTTCCCGCTCCCTGCTCACCGACTGAAAGAATAAAAGCAAGTCAAGCTTTTGTGATTGTTATATTAAGCAAAGAAAACATGATCCTCACCGATGCTGAAGCTAATACTGCCAATGCACGACTGAGCTCGGAGAGTTGTTCTTGCTTATCCAAACTTTTGGCTTTTCCACGTTCTTCTGCTTCTTTTGCAGTTGTTGTCACCATCTCCTCCAACGCGACATCCTTCTGCATTGGGGCAGATTCCTTCAGCCTAGCCTGCTCCTCCTCTTCTTTCTCTTCCTCCTCCTGCAATCAACAGCTTATGACTATGGGAAGAAAGAATGAAATAAAGGAAAAAAATAAATAAATAAATAATAATAATAATAATAATAATAATAATAATAATAGTAATAATAATAATAATCAAGGATGACCTTTACATATTCAATGACTAGAAAGAAAAATATGCTCAAATTCTTGAAGTTGTAAATAGCATCGAAGATAGAGATGAAGCATAGTAGAATACATGTCAGAGTAGATCCCGGTATGAACTGTTACTTGAACAAACCAAACAGGTTCTAATATAGTAGATCTGGCCACAATATGAGAAAGTTCCCTTGAAAGGGAAGTAAAATTCTTGCTAGTTCAGTTAATATTTCAGAGGAACTGAATTGAACAACGGCGGCAACAATAATAGTAAGAGAGAAAATATAACCATCTTATATATAAACAGTAGAAGGATCAGGGTAGTTGTTAATCAGGTTATATTTTTTGCCCTCCGCATAACGACAATTACTGTTTCTTCTTTCCATGAGAATGAGTAGTAAAGACCGATGAAGTGAGACCTTGATTAATTCTTCTTGCATTTCCAGGAATTCTAACTTCCTCCTTCTTTCAGAGACAGAATCTTCAGATGGTAGTGCTGTTACTCCAACAGTGTCCACAACCTCATCAGGTAGAGATGACAGTGTAGCTTGAACAGCTTCCTCTGGCTTGACTTTACCAGACACACTAAAAGCCCTGTAGAAAGGTATGAATGAAAACAGAATATTTCCCCATTGCTGTAATCCCATGTTCATAATGATTGTTGAAGTTTTACCTAGACAATATTAATAAAGATGATGGCACTGAATGGTTGAGAGATAAGTCCAGCCAATCTTGAAGCTGCAGAGAGATGCATATCCAAATTTAAAAAGAAATACTCTACCAATTGTCTTGATTACAATACTATATAATAGAGATGGCGTATGAAAATCTCCATTGTGCAGGTTGAGAAAGGTAAATATTGATTGCAAAAATTAGATATTTAGACAGATTAACTCATGTTTTACAAAAAGTAAATAGAAGTACTAAAAAAATGGCAAACACCCTAAAATGTCTTAAACCTGTTTTCTCATTTCATCAACTGACAGGAGTCCAAGCAATCCACGATCCCGGCATGCTTGGCGAAGCTCCTCCTCAGATAAGGACTCTATGCCCTCAGCTTGAATCATTTTATCGTCTTCCTTTATCCTGCAGCGAGAAAATCAGATTTCTTAATGAATATATGAAACTCAATTCATCAACAAAAAATATTTTTTCTTAATATTAACTGAAAATAATGTTTTCATAAATTCTAATTACTTTAGCAAGAATCAAGTAGCTGTCTCTTGTTCTCTTTCCATTAAAGATGATTTGGTACCCTTTGAAGTTCTATATCTTACTGTTTTGATTTGGGATTACGAGTAGTGATCTCTAGCCAAGTACGTTTAAATAAAATAAAATTGAAACTGGATACGAAAATGCTTACTTCTGAAGCTTCTTTCGTAGCATATACCGCAGATACGCATCCGTACCGTAAGTACTAATACCCATATATTTGCACATAGTCATTAACCGGGGTCTGCATCAGAGATGATATAGAGAATCTTTAGCATGAAAGTGGCTCTAGCACCAATATGTTCCCCAGACAGTAAAGAAGAGGTAGAAAGAAGTTGCAGCTGTACAGCGAGAATTACCTGCTGATGTTATCCAGAGTAAGCTCGTCATTAAACAACTTGGCAAAGCCCAAGATTTCACTATTGGAAACACGTGCCCCTGTCCTGACCTGGCCAAGTTAAGAGGATATTCACACAAGAGTGAAGACACAAAGCAAGGAATACATAGCTGCTAGCAATGTCAGTGCCTTGCTCATTACAAGAAGAATAAGAGTAGTTAAAAATTGCTATGTATTTAGGTTTCTCAACCTTGTTCATGAAATCATCAAGATCTTCAGCAGTTTTCTTTATTTCTCCACTTCTTGAGTTCTGAACTTCTTTTGCCATTTCTTTTACGGTCTCTTGCAGAAACTTTGCATATTCTATCCTTGCGTTAAGCCTCTTTTTCAGAGCCTCCTATAATATGCACATTATAACTGAATATGTCAGTAAAATATGGGAAGTGTTGAAAACAAAGGGCATTGCAAAAGGAAATAATAAACTGAAAAGATGAACAAGTAAATAACTTCAATTCTTCGCATTATTAACAAATCCAAGTAGAGTATTTATGACCCTATGAGAATTTAGATTGTTTTGGGGGCACTTGCGGTCAATAATTTGTAAATTTTCTGCGATGAACAAATGCGAAATCATAGATTATCCTGTAATAAACACTGGGGCTGAGTAAATCACGTTCAGCTTGCACAATGAGACTTTATTGCATCTTTATCTCTGTGACCTCCATAATCTGAATTCTGAAGGAAATTTCTAATTCATGTAATACCATTTGGAGAACCTCTAATTTTTCAAATACATGTTATTCAATCTCTAATCTTAGAAAAAAACAATGAAAGATGATTGTAATGTGTGCATGGTTATGAAAGGGCGGCCAATTTGAATCGGCCAGATTGTGAGTTTCTGCCTCAAAGGAAAATCATCTTTATATCCACTCTCATCTGTAACCATTGGCAAAAGCAACATCCAACTTGGGAAAGAAAGCAACTTTTTGCTAGCTTACATTGACTGCTATTCTATGAAGTCCAAAACTAAGCGATGCACATGAGTATTTTTGTTTTACATTAATAGCCTAAAGCACACTTTAAGATTCATATATTCCTAAGAACATATCGACATCATGGCTACAGACAACTTTGAATGTACAAGTAATAAATCGTACTTCGGTCTACACAGATCGTGCAGCAAGGTAACTAAGTGCTTGCGTCTCCGCAAAACTCAATAAAAGTTCTTAAACTTGTAAAGTAAAAAAGCTAAAAATGTGAAAGGAACAAATCAATATCTCAAAGAGACAAAGACTAATCAGGATAAACAAATTTCCAGAAAATAGTCTAAAAAGTCATACAACTGTACCTGTTCTTTCATTCTGTCCTGGAAGGTCGATGGCAACATGTTTGGAAACAATTTCAGGAACACTGGCAGCAAAAACTCCATGAAAGGAACTATAATGAAGACAGCAAAAGGAACTAGCCTGAAGATGTCGGCTGTAGTTCGTGTAAGCTGTTGCCTCTCCCTCCTGGATAGAGTCTTTCCACTAGCAAGTTTTAACAAAAGCCTCAAGCTTATTCTAACATCAACCCACAACAGTTTTGTACCTAACCAGTAGTGCTGCAATGTGGATTTAAACTCATCCTTCCAGTGCCGCAATTTTATCCCCCAATCCTCCCTATGTTAAAGGGATAGAGTCAGAAAATCTCAAAACAGTATATACTAAAATCAAGGAGACAGAGAGAGAGACAGATAGAGAGAGGGAGGGAGAGAGAGAGAGAGAAGAAAAACAAAAGGAGTCAAATTTAACCTGCTCATAGAGGCAACAGCTCTCAAAGCTGGACCAATTCCTAAAAGCATCGCCCATATTCTCTTCAGTATAAAGCTGGCATCCCTCTTGGAATCTTGCAACAGCTTGGCTTTAGCTTTGGCTTTGACAGAGCTCAAACCTTCGACAGCCTGATCACATTCTTCGGGCGAAGGTTCCTTCTTCTGCTTTGTCGCAAGTTCTTCATTTTTATTATCACGGCCTCCTAGTTCAGGCTGGCCTGCTGCAGCAGTTGATAGATAACGTGCATGTTCTTTTGCCCACTGAAATCCCAAATGAGAACATTCTCCATATATTCCAACCTCATGGTGCAAAGTTGGAACCCAGAAAAACTTATAATCAATCTGATTTTTTGTTGATGCACATTTTGAAAAGTGCTTTGATAGAGTCTGAAAATCTTCCTTCTCTTTATAATGCTCATCAGAGGATGAAGTGGTCACCAATCGGCGCCAAAGTAATGAATCAGGAATGTCCAGTGATTTCCCATGCTCGGAGCATAACAGACCTTGAACCAAGTAATTGGATCCTTTAATTGAACCAATAAGATACCTTTTCTTTCGCAATATCGCTCTTGAAGCCATTGCTAAGGATTCTGAATATGTCTAAGGTAGCATATCCCAAGCAAACTCTTATATTTACGGATGCCAGTTTCTCAACAAAGGAGTTCAGTCTGCACAGCAGGGCTTGAATCAGTAAAAAGCACATAACTGATATTTTTGCAATGATTACACTATTACACTAATAGTATTGCTGAAACTTGCTCTTAACACTATATTATTCCATTTTTAAGGGTCATTCTGTGTGATATATAGAAGTTTTGTTCCAAGACATCATTAGTGTAATGAAGTAATGAAGAGATATATGCATCTGTCAACTGTTAAAAGTACCTTTATGAACTATTCAGTTCCAACACTTTATGTATGGGTACTTTCTTCTTCAGCATGGATGAACATCTGCAATTAATTAAAAGAAGGTACATAGATAGCTTGACCCAATATTTTCGCAGATAGCTTAACTCAATATTTTGCGCTGATCAGTCAAATAATATTGATGAGTGGGCTAGGTAGAACTCATCCCAAAAAGCTAACTCAAACGGAGAGGGTGCCCAACCCACACGTATACATAATAACAGCCTAGTTAGTAGTAGATATAGGACAAAAATAATGCGTGCTACACCAAGTGGGCCGGGTCCAAAACCCGCCATCGCAGCTAAACAAACAGAACTTGGGTGCTTTGATTTCATGATAAATTGGCTACAGTAGAACTCATCCCAAAAAGCTAACTCAAAGGGAGAGGGTGCCCAACCCACATGTATACACAATAACAGCCCAGTAAACTTACTGATATGGGACAAAGACGACTTCTAACAAAAATCATGTACCACATGTTTGAACACAGAAAATCATGTAATAATATGTCAAATAATTACCTCAATCTCATAACATCACAATCCTTCTATTCAGTGTCATTATAAAATCTCTTTTAAGAAATAAAAATAAAAATAAACATTGCGCCATTGTGATTGGATTCTTGTCCTCCAGCTGACGGCTGACGGAGGCCACCAGAATGAAAGTCGTGACTCATGAAACAACTCAAACTTCTGGGTCTTCAACAAGGACAAACTATGTTTCCATATGAAGTCGCAATGGAAAATTTGAAAGCTACTCAAAAAAAACCATCTCAGAAAGCGGGTCAGGATAAACGATTGTTTAAACGAAAAAAATAAATAAATCGCCCAATTAAGGAGACGAATCTCCATGTCGCTATCAACCGCAACACTACACAGGTTCACGACAATCTGCATTATGGATAATCTGAAGAATCGAGAATCCAGGCAGTAATAATCCGCACGGAAAATATACTCAAAGGATAATCAATATGTTTCCAAACAAATACAATCACTTCAATTCAAAACGCGATTGAAAGAACCATAAAAAACTCAGGAAAAAACAAAAGATAATTACGAGGAACCTGAAATTCGACTGACCTGAGAATGTAACATATGATCGATGAGGGGAAGACAGAGAAGAAATCCCAGGTATATCATCAGTATTTTTTCTGTACTTATATTTTTCAATGGAACAAAGGGGAATTTTGGAAGCAGGTTTCAGTGTGGCTGCTGCACCTGCACCTGCACCTGCACCTGCACCCTAACTGCCAAGCTATAGAGTACAATTTTGTTACTGCGTCTTTGTAAACAGGGCATTGCACTTTTTGTTATTTTACTCTTCAATTTAAAAATATCCTTAATTATGTAAGTAGTGTTGTACTGTCATACACTAGACGAGTCGAGCATTGGTCTTACTAAGCGTAATTGATTTTTTTTTTCTGCTCGAGCTCGTCTAGCTCAATTTATGAGGCACGTGCTCAAATCGATAAAAAAATACAATTGCTCGAGCCTGGCGCGAGCTCGACTCAAAATCAAAATTCGAAATTTTTAAGTGGAAAAATAAAATTATCAAAATGCTCGATGCACGAGCTAGTTTTATTAAGGTAAGCATTTAAATTTGGATAATTGGAATAAAACAAAATGTAACTTATGTGTTATCAAACATATCCTTGTACACAACATTATTTGTTTGGCCTTTAAGTACCTCGTCTATCGCCACAACTTATATTAGGATTTTAGCTAGGTTTAAGTAAATCAATTAATTGGGCCCGATTTATCTGCAATTCGATTTCTTTTAATAAACATGATCTGTTGCAATTAGGAAAGATACATGTTATAGGGCTTGTTTGATAAATGGTGTTTTGCACCATTTCAACGTTTTTGCATAATTAGCTTTTTTGACTTTTTCCCAGCCAACTAAAAAGGGTTTTGGTAATTAGCGTTTGAAATCAGCTTTTTGTGCCAATCCGCTAAAAACGTAAACGCTAGGAATTGGAGCGTTTTGAATAGCT